AAGGGTTACATATTTTGGCAAAAAAATCTATTTCTTTTATCAAATATATAAGTTCAAACCATTGTGATAATTGTTTGTATAGTAAATAAAATAGAATTTCTTTTACTAGTTCACCTGAAGAAAAAAAAAATATTTTTAAATTAGTTTACTCTTATGTGTGTAGTTCTATTGATGTAAAAACTGTATGATGTAGTAGATACATTTTTGCTTTTCTTGATGATGCTTCATGAAATGTTTGGATTTTTATTTTGAAAATTAAAGATCAAGTTTTACAGTGTTTCAAATAGTTTCATGCTGTAGTAAAAAAAAAAAAAAGAATATCCTTAAAGTGTCTTCATAGAGAATAATGGTGAATACATTTCAAACGAGTTTGAGAATTACTATTTATAAAATAGAATTAGACATAAAAAAATTGTTCCAGATACTCCTCAGCATAATGATGTGACTAAAAGAACAAACAAAACCATCCTAAAAAAGATTGGATGTATGCTGAAAATGTCTAATCTACCAAAACTATTTTGGTGTGAAACATTTTACATTGTCAGCCACTTAATAAATCGCTCTCTATCAACTCTTTTAGATTTTAATATTCCTCAAAGGATATGGTCCGGGAAGGATGTCACTTATTCTCACTTGAAGATATTCAGGTGCAAGACATTTTTGCATGTACCTAAGGAGCAGAGAGATAAATTAGATGATAAAACTATTTCATGTATTCTTCTAGGCTATGGAGATGCAGTGTTCGGGTGTAGGTTATGGGATCCAGTGAATAAGAAAGTCATCAGGTCTAAAAACGTGATCTTTGATGAACACAAGATTTTGTCAAACTTTGAGACATTAGAGAATATTATAAAAAGTGAAGATATTCCTCTTTTTGTGTTGATTTCTCCTTTAATCAAAGATGTAACAGATGAGATAGAGTTACATGATGAACATAGAATTGATGATATGATAGCACCAGATGATGTTGAGTAGGGAGAGAAGCACTTTATACCTTATATTGTGGAAGAATTCGGGTTAGAAAGTTAATCAAAACATATCATCCATATATCAGATATCCTAGTTTTGATTAGAAAATCAGAAACCTTCCAAGAAGTGCAGAGTCACCAAGGAAAAACTAAGTAGATGAATACAATACAGTAGAAGATGAGTTTTTTAAAGAAGATTTACTTTGATTCGATTAACATATTGACCAAAGTGGTGACTAATGACAAGTATCAATTTTACACCAAAATGGCAAGAATGGGAGATTGTTAGTATCTAGTCCGTGTGGGCAACTAATAAAAAAAAAAGTTGTTATATTTGGGGGAACAATTTTTCTCTCTTCCAGATATATATACATGTGGAAATAAAAAAGAGAAAAAAAACATAACATCTGTTTTTGGGTTCTCTCACTCTCACGCATGAAAATCGAGAAGGAAAAAAAGTGTTGGTCATCAAAAAAGTAAAAACAGTTTCAAAATTGTTTTTCTTCTTTGGGCATGAGAATTAAGAAAAGGAAAAGTAAGTATTTTTTTTTCTCACACACACAGAAACCGAAAAAGAAAAGAAGAAGAGTTTGTTCTTTCTTTCAAGCACGAGAGCTAAGGAGAGAGTATACAAAGTTTGATAACTTTTTTTCTTTTTAGTATTTTGAATCAATTTTAGAGGATTATTCTTTAATTTTTTATTGTGATCATTCAATAGAAACTAAGTTTAGTTAGAGAAGAATTTATGTATTTTCTCTATTATTAATGACATGAAGTGTGTATTACTTCATAATATTGTGCACTTGATTTTAGTAATAGTGGATTTGATTCTAAATTTGGCCCGTGATTTTTTTCTCTACACTTAAGGGTTTTCCATGTAAATCTAATGTCTCTTTATTTTGTAATTATTTCTTTGCTTGTATTAATATTGATTTACGAGATTGATTAGCTTGGAAGAATTAGTTGGAACTTATGGATCAATTTTGTGATTGTCTTAATTTACACTAGATATCAAAATATTTTAAAAGATCCAATAAAAAAATCTTAATTTTTACCAAATATCAGCCATTGACCTTTTATGGACCAGCTTAGGGATAGAAGGAAATAGATTTAGGAAAAATAAGTTCTTTATATGGCTAGTAAGTATGACATAATGCACTGTCAGGCTTTAATTGGCACGTTTAACAATTCAAGTGAGGTAAAGGTATTGTTTGCCTCAATAAGAGCATGTTCCGAAGGTATTAATCTAGGTGGAGCTTCACAAGTTTTTTTACTTGTTGTTGTATGAAACTCATCAGTAGAAAGACAAGCTATAAGTCGTGGATATAGGCTTGGGCAAAAAAAATTTGTTCATTTGTACCATTTGATCACAAATGGGATGATGGAAGAAAAAAAAAATCAGCAACAATCTAATAAATATAGGATGTATGGGTTTGTGTTCGCAGAAAACTATTTGTTTTCCTTATTGGTCACTTTCTAAAATTTAACTTTGATATAGCTAGTAAACATTTATAAGAACAAGCTTGAACAGGACAAAAATAAATAATACACTCTATTTTAGAAGAAAATAAACTAAGAATAACTATAAGGAAATAAATTTAAAGAATGCACATCACTACATATTATACAAAATCGACTCTTTAGTAGACTCAAACACATTTATAATTCTTGCTCAGATTTCGCAATTGGAAACAAAAGAATTGACAATGATTTTACATCACAACTAAAACATAAAAAAAAAATTATAAAAAAATAAGCTTAAGTCAACAATAAGAGTGATAGAACGAAGAATAAATTTAAAAAACATACATTTATAGAATGAAAAATATTATATTGATAGG